CAAGTTAACTAATCAATCCCGCTGAGATGCTGCCGCAGTTTTCTGCAGCAGCCTTAATTGCAAAGCAATGAAGTGAACTAAAACGTTTGCTGAAGCAGCCTCAGTTGCAAATCAATGGAGTGCACTAAAACGTTACCTATTCTCTAAAAGATTAGGTGAAAAATTCANAGTGAGAAATGCAATATTTTCGCATTTAGCAAAATTAAAACACGTTTTTCGCTGTAAATTGAACAGTTTTGGCAGTTTCTACTCGTTCTTCTTTTCGCTTATTCTTTGTTTACTTGTGGTACACAAATGTCAACGGCCAGGACGGCGCAATCTTGTATTCTATCATTCTTGGTTATTTTTGCTAAGCGCTGTGTATCCTGATCCACGCAATAGTTTCTGATAGTGTTGTCACCGCTTCACACAACTACAGTTCAATTTATCAAATTAATCCAACTTTTTTAGTCTGACTTTATACACGGCAAACTTACCAAAAGTTACCAAAATACAAAAAAGTTGACAAAAGCACCAAGGACTCAAAAAGTTACCTATTTTGGTTACAAGTGACCAAATGTGGCAGCCGTGGTTGTAAGTATATATTAAGGATTTTTTATATTCGTCAACTTTTTCCTGATTAGTTGAAAGTGGACGGCTTTGAAGAACACGCTTGGTAACTTTTGAAAATTTTGCTTGTAAATCTTTGAATACAAGTCCACATCTGACATCTGGCACACACGCAAAGCAAAAGATCTATGAAAAATTATCGAACGGTTATATTATTGAAAAAAAATCTTTGAATGAAATTGTAAAATTTGAAGTTGAAAACATAGAAAACTGAGGAAAATGTTTATTGATAATTATAACCGTTGAAATATTTTACCATATTTCAAACGAAATCCTAAAAGTTGTAGTATAAAAGCACAGCAATGGCATATGAAATTTTTATTGAATATTTGAAAAAAGAAAAATTAATGGAAATTCCAAAATCGGACTCCTGCCTAATGTTGCAAAGAATCGATGAACAATTTTTGTAAAACTGTAAATTGTTCAAAAATTACGTTTAAAAAAAGGTATTAGTATTTGCACATGACTATACCACTGAAGCTGAAATTCCATAAGGAAAAACAATAATATATGAGGCATTTCATGTCACCGAGGCCACCTCTGTGCGCGACCTCTCAGGATTTGGATGAAAGTTGAAGACATGAATATACGTGCAGCATATTTTGCCGATATGACTATGATATGAATATTTACACGGGACTTAAATTTAAAGAAAACATCATACATACCTTTCATCAAAGTGCTGGATTTTGGAAACCTTTTAACGAAACTTAATGATAAAAAATGTAGTCCTTCTGTCTTATTATGGGCTTTAATTGTATATTTTTTACATTAATGTGCAACGTATAAAAAACAAACATGGGAAATCTGCTTACGACGTGATGGAAGGAAATTTTAAGAGCCTAGCAGCTAGAGCAAGTCTACAACTCCTGATGTTACAACAAACTCGAACACCCGAAGGCCTCTACCAATGGGGTGCTGTATGTTTCCAATGGGATGTCTGTAAAATATATAAACCTAATGAGTAATAAAATTATAGTTTAAAAAAACCAACAACACGCTTTTATTACAATAAGAACTAAAAAGGTAAAAATTATTTATTGATTTAAAGATTCGTTTAAGAAGGATATGAAGTTCCCTAACTTGATGCTGTTTAACCTTTTAAACTAGCTTAAAATAGGATTAAAGTAATTGGCACGTAGTCATAGCCGAAATAAAGTCCACGTAAAGTTAGTTGCAGTTTTTTTTAAAGGCATCCCATTGGAAACATACAGCACCCCATTGGTAGAGGGCTTCGGCAATACCAGGAGTTGAAGACTTGCTCTAACTGCTAGTTTCTTAAAATTTCCTCCAATCACGTCGTAAGCAGATTTCCCATGTGAACTTGCAACAAAATTAAATTCTGCCATTTCCTTGAAGGGATTTTCATGATTTCACGCCTTTAGTAAAGTTAATCTCATTTATTCATATTGTTTTTTGTTTTTTTTACACACCTTTCCTCTTGCAAAAATATACAATTTCATAAAATTTCAATGTCTATTCATCATATTGCTTGAGCGTTAGTCGATCTAGAGTCCATACGCATAAGTAGCCCCTTACGCCCATTTGGGTACTTAAAGTTGATATTATAGACAATGCTTTATGTAAAAATAAAAAATTTTTAAAATGCTATAATCAAAAAAAATTCAAAATGAAAAATGTTGCTTTTTTTTCTTTCTTCGCCCAAGGCTCGCCATTTTGACTGCATGGGTCACGGTCGCCATGTCGAGGTGGATATATTCCCCTTCGTTAGATTAACGGGCGTACGTGTTACACGTGGGGCCCTGGTGCTCCGCCGGCGCTACTGCCGGCCAACGCTTTCTTTGGTTGAGCCCTAGCGCTCCGCTGGTGCTGCTGCTTCGGTACTTCGTAGTTGTGTGGAGCCCTGACGCTGTTGTAGTGCCCCCGCTTGTGGGGTGCTCCGCTGTATCCTGTGTTGGTACAGGCAAACGGTTATTTCCCGAAGCTGCTGACTGCAGCCGATGCCTTGGTGGCTAGCACGCCGAATTTTATAACAAAGATACTTGAGCTTGTGTTCGAGTTGAAGGCACGCGGGCGAATGCCGCTAATTTTTGTTTTTCATTTTGTCTTCAACTTAGTTTCTTACATACACAGGGTTGCATTCCTAATATCGTAAATTCTTAAATCTTAATTTTATAGTAATTCTGTAGGGTTGCATTACAACTTCTTCATAGTCAAAGTCAGGACTTTAGTGGCGAAAAATATTATACAGGCAACACATTTATTAATTATTTTCACAATACCTCGTAGTTTTTACTGCAAGGTTACTAAAAAAAAACTGAAAACGACTTTTGAGAACTCTAATATACCTACCGAAGAATGCGTTTGATTAAATTCGTGTTGTGCAGACCGTGGCTATGGATTTATATACGGTGTCAACAGAAAAGTTTCCAGACGGGTAAGCCCAACAATCACGAATGTTGATCACCATCCCGATACTTAATCCCCAGTTAAACATCGTTTCCTACATCACTGACTCCATGTACACCAGATTGTGTCGGTAACGTTGGCAATGGTACGGTGCTCCTTCCCAAAGCGATGTTGGTACATTCGCTTTACTCGCAGGAAATGAACTTTTTGTGTACATAAGGCAAGGTATGGTTAAAGAGTGCAAGAGAGCTGTAAAATATAAAATCATACTTTGAAATAGCAAAAGAGAAAACAGTTGTTTGCAAACTACTTACGCAGAGTCCGGTAATTATGTGGGATTGCTGCGATCGCGCAAAATTGTTTGCCTCACTTTTTCATTTGTTTGCTGCTCATTATTGAGCAGAACAGCTCATAAAACCATTTAAGTTTTCACTTTGTAATTTCTTCAAATGAATTTTGACACTTCAGAACGCAATTGACAAGTAGAAGGTTTGTACCTTTTGCTGCATTGATCGGTCTGCCTCGCTTACTTGTACTTGTCTGTACGTTTTCGTAATATCAGCTGCTATAGCACTTTTACGGCAACGGAAACGACAAAAAGTCATGAACAGATCTGATTGAATGGTAGGACCGACCATTAGTGTGTCATTTAATAAGAGTTGGGATGAAGTTTTACTGGAAGCATCAAATACCACTCTAAGTTTAGTTGTTAGACTATCTGGGGCCTGTTTCTCAAAACTACAAATTTAAATGTTACAAGCTACAAGGTACAAGTGCTCATTTTACAATAAGTTCTAGATTTCGTTTCACGAAAGCTCACAAAAAAGTTGTTATATGAACACTTGTAGACTTGTATTTATAAGCAAAAGTAAATTTAGAACATAAACAATCCCCAAAATATATACATACTTACATACATACCCTGCAGTGACTCTCCAAATTAGTCAGGAAAAATACTAGTTTACAACTAGAATTACCTGACTGACTTGTACCAATTACACAACGATTTGTTCAGGCCGTTTTATTTGACTTCAACAGTTTAATACAATTAAGTACACCAAATATTATAACTTTTAATTGGGTATATTAAAAACCATTAAAACGAGTACATATTCAATTATATACATAAGTATGTGTGCAAATGATTGAAAATATACACTCTAAAAATTTTTTGTTTAAATTTACGCATATTAAGATAGGTAGCCAGTTTCCTCCCCTAATGCGTGTAAATTTACACACCGTGTTAAATTAAACTTTAGATGTGTATTTGACATGTTTAAATTTAAACATCAATTGTTTAAAAATGTTTTAAATTCCACTTAAAGGTCTTTTTGAAATAATTTTCTTATCTTTATGTAAGACCTGCGCATTAGCTTGGCATTCAGCCGGTTGAATCAATTCACACATATGTATCTACTTTAATGGCCCTATTATGTATGGCGACTGATAGCCGATGGGGAACCATGTACCATTCGCATTACGTACGGCAACTGGCTACTGGCTGTCGGCTAATGAGTGTAGTAGCGCAATTTTCTGTTTGCCGCTTATGACGTTTTTGTTATTTGTTTACATAAATTGTTAAACACATTTGAGCAAAGTTGCCAATTACTGCCATATGTACATGTCAAAAAAGTAGATTCGGATGCTGTCGGGCTTTTGTGTATACTGAGATTAATCGCTATACATCAAGCTATACATAATACAAAGCACGACACTGATAGCCATGGCTACTGGTGTCTGTCGCCATACATAACAGGGCCATAAATAGAGTTTCTTTGACAACTTCATTTAAACATTGTTTTCGTAGAGAAGCAAATTTGTATATTCGTCAACAATATTTCCCCAAATATAAATATCCAAACACAGCAATTTTTTAAAATAGCACTTGCACTCTCTTTCACGGTAGGAATAGGAATAAAAAAATAAAATGTATGAAGTTGATTCAACTTGCCCTCAGACGTTGCAATCGTTCATACAACCAGGGGTTTAGATCAAAATATTTTGATCTTCATTCAACCGGTGGAATAACTTCAAGCAACCTTGCAGAAGTTGCAATCTCTGCAAATCTTAAGCCAACCTGTTGCATGCCAAGATGAATGGTGTAGGCTTTGCTTACATATGGAAAGACCAACATGCTGTGAAAACACAAATGAAATTTGCTTTTGTTGTAAGAATTCTGTTTGTTGTTCCTTTTGCTTGATAGCATTTTGCAACTGACGATTTCTCAATTCCAAATGATTTACACGCTGGGTAATACTGTGATGTGGGCTATTCTGGATTTCGATAGTAAAAATTAATTGATTTGCAATGCAAAAATACATACGTTTACTTACATAAGTACATAATACAAATTTTCTAGAACACAACGAAGGAGCCCGTTGCACATTGCAGGTCCATAAATAAACCGTCCTTGCAACTATTGCAAGTCATTAAACAAAGCCGTAACTTCATGCAACCCGTATCTCTATTTAATTCAGCAATTCATTTATCACTTGTATCCGCAGCAGTTTTTTAATCTGAAATTGTCAACTTATTAATACACATTTAATTCTTTTTTTTTACGTTTTTTTTTTCTTTGTGTTTTTTTTTGGGTTTCCCAACTGCAATGAGTGACTATTAAATGACTACTATTTAATCTTACTTTTATTTAATTTTTATTTTTTATTTTATTTTTAAATTTAAGATAACTGTTTGTATTTAAATTTATTGCTATTATATTTTTACGTTAGATTTAAGATAAGTCTGTATCAGACGATTTTGCGTTTTAATTTTGTAATTGAAAGCTGTTGATGTACTACAAAAGACTGAGTCTTACAGGTACAACCTCATTTCTTAAATAAATAAATAACTTACTCCCGTTCTGATCGGTAGGGAGATTTATTTGGCCCATTCAACGAGTACAGCGCCATCACCAATTATTTATTTTGTTTTCCTATTTTCTATCTTCTTCCTTATGTTATACAAATTTATTACTCGTTCCTTTATTCTATCGTTTTATATTTGGTGCATCACTGACTTATTGCTAAATACTTTTGGAGAGAACGTGGTGAATAAAGATATCATTGGATTTGCGTTGTGAACGTTAGTTGGATTTCTTGTTGCCTGGTTTATATATTGGTTGTCGTTAGAGAGTAATTTTCGTTCTTTTAATGAATTCATTTGTAAAGCTTTGAGACCTTCCGCTTGGATTAATTGTATCATATTGTTGTATTTGCAGAGTGCTGGGAATTTACTTCTTATTGAGTCCCACCTAGGGCAGATATGTAATATATGTGTCGTATCTTCTTCGCAGCTGCAGGTTTCGCATTTATCACTTTCTATTACGTTTAGTCTCTTCATGATACATTTACCAAAGGTGGGATTTGTAAGTATTCTGCATAACATTTTTATTTGAAATGCATTAAATTTAATTTTAGGCTTATGGAACCAAGGTTTCTTCGTAATTTTTGGAAACATCGCATAATAGTTTCTTCCTTTTTCTAAACTTATCGTTGCGTATTCTTCTTGCCATTTTTGAGTTAATTTCCTTTCAACTTCTTTAATCGTATCTGCCAGGGTCCAGCCAATATCTTCGTAACTGCCCGTGTGTTCAGCGTTTCTGGCGGCTAAGTCAACAATTGTATTTTGATAGATGTTTTTATGGCCAGGTATATAATGTATTTCTACTTCCGAGAGGTCGCTGATGTTTATTAGTGATAAAATTTGGATTACAAGGCTTTTCGTGCTATTTTTGTTCTGTAATGCTATCGCTCTAGATTTTCTGTCCGCTAAGATAGCAATTTTTCGGAGACCTTGGCGGATTACAAAGTTGATTGCTTTTTCAAATGCCCAGAGCTCGGCTGTCATTGACGACATTTATTTTTTTGTGTAGAAGGCTAATGTTGTGTTTGTCTTTTCATAATGAAATGCTGCTTTTGTGAGGTGGTCTTTAACTGATCCGTGTGTGTATAGAATTTCTATGTTTTTGTTTCTGAGTTGGTTTATTTTTTCTTTAAATAGTTGATTAATAAAGTTTTCATTCGCTTCAGATTTGTTTTTAATCGATTTTTTAAGGAATTCAGTGTATACGGTTATTGTTTTAGTTGATATATGTTCTTTTGGTATAGTTGTGGTATTTTTAATGATGTCATCGTATTATTGAAATACTTTTGTGTAGCTAGTTGAAAAATGTATTTGCTGCTGTGTTAATAGTTCTTTAGCCGGTAGATCAAAGGCGAATACTTTTAATAATTCTTTAGCTGTCGCAAGTTGCAGTCTATAGTGGAGAGGTAATTCAGCAGCCATATGGTATGGTATGGTTGATTTTATTAATCCTAAGCTTTTCCTAATAACTTGATTGTTTCAGCTTTTAAGTTTGTCCATAGCTGATTTGGATAAGTTCGGAAACGAAGATGCCGCGTATTCAAGTTTCGATCTGGCGAACGCTTTATATAGCTGCAGAGCCTTTGATGGATTACTCCAAAGGTACACCCGCTAAGTGTTTTTAAAAAGCTACATCTTTTATTGGTTTTGTCTACTATTTCGTTTATGTGGAGATTGGCTGAGTTATTTTTGTTTATGAAACGTCCTAAATATTTAATAGAGTTAACTTGTACTAATTGGTTCTTATGTATTTGAATGCCCAGGGCTTTTCTTTTTTTGTTGAAGTGAATAATAAGCTTCGGTGGGGCCACTCTGACTTATTCGGTTTAAGGGCTCACTGAAGTCTACAGCGTCTGTTCACCAGTAGGTGCGCCTGCAAGCGGGTGTCTGCTTGGAGCAAGCGGCTCGCTATATAAACGTGTAAAATGTGCGCCCAAATATGCAAGGAAAGCTTAACGTCGAAAAGCTGCAATCACAACAGACAGCCAGCGCTTTCGCTACTCGACTCTCACACCTGCTCTCAGAGAGC